ATATTTTAGTCATGTTAGCGCTTAAAGAAATAAAAACCACCCACTTTTTTTTTTACCACACTTTTCGTCAATGACATAAGCATCGTAAACTGTGGCTTGTAAAAATGCAAACTTAATAATAAAATAATTAAGTCCTATAGTTTGAGTATGTTATTGCTGAGATTGTTGCAAAGCAAACAATCCCAGTATATGTTGCTGTCGGATAAATTCTTTATTATAGTTATTATTGTTATTGCGTAATTATCTGCAGCATTACATGAGCAACCCTGTGGAGGGGAAACGGGCCTTCAGATGGTGCATTGGCCTTTTTCTCTCTTTCTTTTTCTTTCGGTCTTTCTTTCCTTCTTACTTTCCACCTATTCCAAAGTAGCTGTGTTGTAGTTTTAAGTGTTGCTTGGAAATGCTCCCTGGTGCTTTTACAAGGGGAAACAGTGTGGTGTTCTTGCTCGGAGAGGCTTTCTCATATTGTAGATGATCGTGCCCCCAATGCTCGCTCACTAGTTCCACCCGCATGGAAATGCACAAACCTTCTCCACTGAATGCCCTCCTTTGGCCGCCTCGTCACATGCTTCCATTTACACGTCATTTTGGATATATGGTACCCCAGTGTCACTGTGGAAAAAATCACTATTGTACACTTTTCTTTCTTTCTTTCTTTTTTTTACTGCTCACTCTTTCTACCTTTTAATTTGCCCCTGTTTGATTTTTCACAGCTGCATCCCTCCTGTTTTAAATGGGGAAGTGGGGGTGGTGGGTGGTGGTGGTGTGGTGGTGGTGGTGGTGGGGGACTCTCTTTGTGAAGACAGAATCATCAAAAGCCTTACTACAGAGGAACAGGTACCAATATCGCTCTGTAGCCCTGTGACGCAGCTAAGTGGGACCACATTGACACAATATAGTGGCACAGGCAGCAGATTACACTTGGCTTTGCACACTGCCCCACATGCACACAGAGCTCCCATATCAAAATGTTTGGTCATTTATTGCTCAACCACCTAGCTATTTTTCATATCTGTCATGGTCCACACAGTCTCCCTCTGCCTTGATTTTTTTTAAAAAATGTTTTCATTCAGCAGACGATCTTTTCCCCCCATATTTGGAGTCTCTGCTGAATTTTGCATAGTTTTGCCTTTCCCCTGGATATTGTCTTTTCATCAGTGGCTGGCTTTCTTTTTGAATTAAACCAGATCAATTTACAGCCAGCCAAAAGATGCAGTCTCTGTGTGTACTGGAGAAGGCAGTGAGAGAAATAGGATGTGTGTGCTTTATAATGGCCATCAATGGGACACACACACACACACATTTTTTTTCCTCTCTCTTTTAATGTTATCATAGCCACAGCCATGACCTCACCATGCTGCTTATACACCTGGCTCTGAATAATCGGGCTATTTTTGGCTGTTCTATCCTGTACTGTGCAGTTCTTTTTCTGTTCAATATGTGTATCCCTTCCTAACAAGAAAAAAATGCACCTTTGAGCAACAGCTTTACAAAGATTTGTAATTTTTGTTTTTTTATTTTCACTAAAGGCATGACTGCTTACTCTGCAGGATATTAGCTGGTCTTTATTATATGCATTAGCTCCTTTCTCAGAATTCGTGTATGCCGTCAGTGTTGTTTCCTCCTGCTCTTCAGACTACATCGATAATACCGCTCAGTCCATATGCCACAAGGCACATGTGTTTGTGTGCGTCCAGGCAGACGGCAGAAAATTACTCCAGATCTCTATCTTTATGCATTTAAGTCTAGAGTGCTCTGATTAAACACAACCACAGAACAATTTGCCTTTTGCAAGGCCCTCCGATTAAACCGCTGATTTTCAGCAAGTTATTTTGCTATGGCAACGCTGATTACAATGTTATCAGCATTTCATATTTTATTATTTTTATTAAAAAAAAATCCTCAGTAGCTTCTTCTAATCTTGAACGGAAAGAACATGTTTTCTTTAATATCTTGTGCTATTGTTGTTTCCTTGTTGTTGCAATAAATAGTTGATGGTGTCAGATGTGTACTTTAGGGTAGTGACTGTAAATGCTATATCTGTGTCATATCTTGTTCTTTCCCTTTGACATGTAGTAATTATGAGATATCATCTTTACCTACAACACCATCTGATCTCTTGCGCATGTGTTTTGAGTACAGTAACAGCTCCTTCAGTTGCAAACAGATGTGTGTTTGTGTGATACCCCGCATCTGTTCATACGTGCCCTAAAATCTTTGTTATTGCAAGGCCATGCTACAAAGCAAAGAGCTCCGTTTATGGCACGCATTTACAATTTATCAAATAAATGGGATGCCTTCATGTGGCCTGTGCCTGGCTCTCAGGCAGAGCAGAGTAGTTTTCCACTGGAATAACAGCCGCTGAACAAGCAGCCCATTGTAGCCATGGCCAGCACCGGGACCCCCAAGGTGCGAATTAATGATTGACCCCTGATGTAATCAGGATAAATAGCTCCCCGTAAAAGAGAAAGAGATGGCGTAGGGGAACAGAGAGAGAAAGAACAACATAAGGAGCCAGGGAGAGGAAGGCACTATCTGGCCTGGGTGTTTTTTAAGAAGCCCTTAGGGAGGCGAACCTAACATCTCTTTCTGGGACGTTTGAGACCCAGAGCTAACACACAGCTGTTTAAAAGCAGCTCAGTCATCAGTTGCTGGGCTCTTTGTCTTTTCCTCTTTGTTTTCTTTCTCACCCTTCGACTTATGAGCCTGCTTTGTTTTCTCATTTGCAGTTTCTTTTTTTCATCATCAGTCGAACATGGTGTTACAGAAAGCCAAAGAACATTCGTCTCTGGTCTCACATGCTTTAAAAAAAATTGTTTTCTTTTTAGGAATTAACAAAGTTACGACTGAAAGTTGAACGTGTTTAATATCACACCGTGTTTGCCATTTCCGCTGTGGTTTACTGCACCATGCGTCTCACAAAAGATGTTTTGTTCATTAAGACTAAGAGGAACTTTTATTTTGCTTCCCTTCTCTTTGTTACTCAATTATTTGACGTAGCGATCTGTGCATTTTTTTTTTTTGGGGGGGGGGGGTGTTGTTCATAGGGGCTCTTAAAGCCAAATGGTATTTAATAGATTTTCCGAGGCTGTCTCTCTGCTTGTCAAAATTGCTCTCAATGGGTCAAGTGCCAGTGAGAGTGGGGGAGTGAGCAGAAAGAGAGAGAGGGAGAGAGTGAGTGAAAAAAAAAAGTTTAACAGTCTGAAAACACTTTTGATTGTGTGGAAGGAGCAGCAGATAGGGCTGAGTTATAAAACTTTAATTGATCTGTGAAAAGTGGAAGCTACTGCTGGCTCACATGTTCCAATGCTTAATTGCACGCCTGGTCTGAATCCCCATGAAACAGTGATCATTAAAAAACGGGTTCCTTTCCAGTCAAAATCACTGGGATGACGCAAAATCACTAATAAAAGGCTGACTTTTACTGCTTCAGCTTTATGTGATAAGTTACCTAAATGTATGTGGACAAGCTGCAGGTTTGCCAGGCTCTGAAAAGCCCTTGTCACATGTTTCACATTTCGCATTTTAAAGTTACATGTCTAATTACAAGATAGCAAAAAAAGGTATCCACTGCACATTGTGTGCTTTTCTACTCTTTCTGTAACGACGGTTTTGTTATTTGGATTCCCTAACAGCATATTCTGCCTGTATTTCTCTGCCTTTCTGACCTGACATAACACAGAAACAGCATTTTAGAATGAGTAAACTCACGGAAATAAAACATCCCAATTGTTAATTGAATTCAACTTGCATCATTTTTTTTAATTAAAACCTCTCATTACAAAATAATATACTTCCACACACTAACAAGCACATTTTTAAAATGTCATGTTGCAGCTCCAGTTAAAACCTGGGCAGCGACGACAGGCTTGGCAGCAGGCTAGATGGAGGTTAGGAGGGGGGAAAGCGCTTGATTGGAACCACTCCTGCTGTAATTTTGGGCCTAGTTGGCCTGCTGATTGCCAGTCCCTGTGTTTAGATAGTAAAACTGCAGTGGTACTTTGACTTAAGACACCAGGACTGTCTAGAGAGGGATAACAAAGAGACGTGTATAGATGTGCTTAAGAAAACACAGAGACACAAACAAATAGGTACAGATCTGTTGAGGGCTGGATTGAAAAATGTGCATTTGTTTCATATTTGTAAGCTTTCTTCTCCCTTGATGCCATTGGTCCTGATTCAAATTCCAATGTTATGCTATTTACGAAGGAAAATTATTACACATCTTAGCTTTACTAAAAACTTGATATGCCGCACTAAAAAGCCTCTACTCAACAACAGCCTAAGGGAATGACACTCACCAAAAGGCTCTAGTGCATACAAACTTTCATTTTACACAATAAATGCGTGAATTATACAGTATGAAAAACAAAATCATTAAATTTGAAGTTACCAAAACCATACTTGCTGTTCTTGTTTTCACTCATGTCACAATGGATCCTGGAGCGCCGGCGCAATCATGTTGTCAGGTCTTAGATGTGAAAATAATAATGGGCGACGAGGCCCACCAGGTCAATGATAGATATAACGAATTATTTGTAAGATGAGTCCTGGCAGGACGTGGTGACCACGATGAAACTGAGAACTATTCCCACGAAGGACTTGGCTGCTATCGCTGTGTTTCAGGCTGTTCTCAGATAACCTCTGGAAAATCAGTGAACTAAGCATTTTGTTGCTGAAGCCAGTCAGATGGATAAGTACGACTTTCTGAGGACCACTAAATTTCCTCATTGTGCTGTGTGGTTTGCCGACAATTTAGAGGTTAGGACATTGAGGTGCATTTTGTAACTTAAGGCCAAGAACTCCTTGCATGCATAGTATGCCTCTGGGTTTGGAAATATGATTTACAGTATTTCAGTTTCTGTCTTCAATTCCAGGGAAGCTATTCACATAGATTTATGGTTAAAACCAGATTTCTCTTCCCGTCTATGTAGCTGGCATGGAAATCCAGGAGGTTACACATCCTTTGTGACATGTCTGTGTGTGTCTTTGTCTCGTAGATGACAGTGAGCCAGTGGACAGCATGTACGACACAGAGGCTGATCTGCCAGGTTTAGCGGCTGGCAGCGGAGGTGGCGCCGACAGCCCAGAAGACGACGCAGAAGACGGCATCATCAACATGTCCCCCTTGCCCTCACCGACTCCCTCCCATCCAAACAGCAACCACCACCACCTGCTACACCCCCATATCTATGCCTCCCACCACCACCATCTCCACAACAATAGCAGCAGCAGCAATGACCAGGACTTCACCACACCCAAGGAGGGCTCGCCCTATGAGGCGCCTGTCTACATTCCTGATGACATTCCCATTCCCAGTGAACTGGAGCTGCGGGAGTCCTCTGTGCCCGGTGCAGGTCTAGGTGTATGGGCAAAGACCCGCATAGGTGCTGGTGAGAGGTTTGGTCTGCACAGCACAAAGCATCATGTGGCCACAGGCAAAGACAGTTCCTTTGGATGGGAGGTAGGAACTATCACAGGTTCTCTGTGCAGTCATTATAGTTGCTGTTCTTTTAATTAGTTTTATTTTATTTCACATAAACTGTGGGTCCTTTTTAATCCGCTACTGGTAACGCAGTACAACACAGTAAGACACGGCGCTAAATAGAAGTGAAGAAAGTAACTAAAGCAATGAGGCACTTTTCAGCTTTCACATTTCCTCAAGAGAATCTGTCTCATCACCATAGATGCCCATTCTGTTTCCATCATGTGTATGATTGGACCTCATCTTTGATTGTCGCATACGCTCAAAGTCATACGCGCACAACACACTTATCCAGAATTCCGGCAGAGCAGCGTAGCAATGTCAAATGGAAAAATCTGGCTGATTAGCGGTGGTATCAGCTTTTCTGGGCGTCGGTCTGAAGCGAGCAGACTCATTTGGTCACGGCATCTGATATGGAAATGGAAGAAGCGTGGCCCAGTGCGGTGGCGGCATATTGAACTATTAATTTTCATTTCAACATGACATTAGAGGATATTGAAGTTGCTTCAGTAAGCTCATTAAGGGAAAAAAGAAACTCCTGGTCTCTGTCTCTCTCCGTCTCTGTCTCGCTTTCTCAAATGCCTAATTAGAGGTGAAATATGCTGGCCTGCTTTTCGTTTCACTGACTCCTTGACTGTTCGTTTTTCAGGAGGACGGTCATTCACGTAGTCTCATATTACATTCATACATAACAAAGGATAGAAGCTTGGACAAGTTAATCATTGGAACATCATTCTGAAAAGGGCAGGATGTGATTGAATTAGACACCAGGAGCTGATGGGCACAGTTAAAAAAACTTTAACCAACAAGGCAGGGAATTTTTTTGAGAATGTTGCCATGGTTTCATGCTTTATACTATGCAATACATAGTTCAAATGGCTCATGTTGATAAAATACCGTCAAAAAAACAGTCAGATGAAAATTATGTAGATAAATTAACAAAAGAATCCCATCATAGTTTCAGTCTGAAGAAGTCTTTTTTTCAGCCACGTTTTCTTCTCACCAGTTGTAGGAGCATGCAGACGATTAAAACACTCAGGCACACGCTATGTGGCAGTGTGCCAGGGTGAACATATTCCTTTTTAAACTTTGTATTATGGCCAGCCATTTGGGGTGCAAGAGGCTTCTCTCCAAAAGCTACACACTCCCCGCAGCGCTCATGTTTTCTCTCAGTTTTCCCTCCTCCTTCCCTTTTTTTCTCCCCGGACACCCGGCTAATGCATATTCATCAGCATAGCTTCAGCTCTTTTGCTTTAGGATGAGGCTGACTTATGCTCTAAAGAGACACATCCACACATCCCCACCAAAGTGCCCTGGGAAAAACACTCGCACCTGGCCTAAAAAAGGAAGAAACTCAGCAAATTTTACACTCTGTCTACTCCTTTAAAATTCAATTCAATTCAATTGTATTTATATAGCGCCAAATAACAACAAAAAACGCCTCAAGGCGCTTTATACTGTACAGTAGATATGAGGAACATACAGTATATCTCAGCATGTTGAAGGATATTACAAAGATAGTTTTCTGTTCATTTATCAGTTTCAGTTTCATAAGCCACCCGGAAAGGTATGTATGCGAACACAGCCAAGACTCAGCTGATGCTGGAACGTTTTGGCGTTTTGTGACATTTTCAGTATACTCTTTCTAGATCAGTATGCATGTTGCTATTAGCCTGAGGTCAGTTTTATTTCTCTTCAAGGTAAAATCTTTGCTCTCTGCCTCCCAACCTGTCAAAAGAGAACAATAATTCCATCTTCTCTTCTTTCTCCTTCTGAATAGCCGTTGGAGGACTGACCCTGGCTCAGGGTGTATTATTTTTTAAAGATATCCTGTCTGGGCTGTGGGCTGGAAATCTTCAGAGGCTCTTCTCTCCCAGACTCTTATCACAGATAGTCATAACAGTCAGCCTGTTGATAGTCATCAACAGACTCCCTTAGGAGTCCCATACACCCCATTTCTCCCCCCTTTCACCATCTACTCATCTACTGCCTCTGGTCTTAGACAAATAGACAGGCGAGGGAGGGACAGAACCTTGGCTAAGTACAGAAAGATGTAAGTGGACACGAGAAGACTTGATGCTTTTTGATAGAGGGAAACCGTAAAATGCAAAACCCCAAAATGTTTCAAACAACATCAAAAATGCAGGAAGAAAACACGAGTGTTCGTTAAAGGTCTGTTGTGTGTTGCAACAGTCCCCTGCCAAAACGCAGTGATGTGCTATGAGAGATAATAGAAGAAGTCACCCGAGACCTTTGTGTGTGATAGTATCTAACCAAGACCTCATATGTTAGAACTCAGCAGGTACTGTGACAGTTTAGATCAAAAGCTGAATGTAATTATCAGAGTGATTATCTCTGCATAGCTGTGCTTCCACTTCATCTAAAAATGAGTAAATTCGTGATGTTGGGTGAACCCCAAAGGCACCACCGCTCCTCCCCCCAAACAATCTTGGTTTCTTCTTGATGACAGCCTAATTTTAAGTTATAGAATTATGTAAAACTCAAAGGATATTGATTAAACTGTAAGTGAAGCCCTGTCAATCCTAAGAAAACCAAATTTCTAAAATTGCAGTCATAAGGTTTTCACCCATCAACAGTGATATTATAATCCATCTGCAGCAGCATTGCTGCATCCAAAACAGCTCAAATACACTGTCTACATTTTTGTGGATTTTTGACTTTATTTTTTATTTGTTCTTTTTTACTAAGACTGGCAATAACTCATCATGTTGGCTTTGTAAGCTCTGTGGTCTACCAGTGAACCCAAACAGCTCAGTCACATGCTCGATGCTTTAGTGCTCTCTGGATCTCTGAGTAAAAGCTTAAGATGGGTGCAGAGAAACACGGGGTAATAGAAAGAGAGAGTGAAAGGTTAGGAACAACAGAAAGAAGAAAGGGAAAGGCAGAGAGGAAGCCTTCTATTGTCTGTCCTGGGGCACTGGGAACTGGAAGAGGTGTTAACTCAGACTCATTTTAGTGAGACGGACAGCTCAATCTAAGAGCTGCTTCGCTGCAGGCCATGGCCATTCTCTTCTGTCTCAGATGCCCTCTCTGGGCCAGCACTGAGTCATCCATTTAAAAACCATTATGCTCCCCCTTTAGCTAAACATGATAGAACGCCAGAGCCCCAGGTCCACCTTATGTGTGTGTGTGTCTCTGTCTGGTTGGGTGTGTAGGACTGCTAACCCCTGAGGATAGGAAGGGAAGCAGAGAGAGGCAAGGCCCACAGAGAGTCCAGTGTAGGGATCTAACTGTCAGAGCGACTGCTGCTATTATCTAACTGGTAGATTGGCTTGACTTGTCTATTGATAGAGACATGTCGCCATACAGTAGCTGGAGGTATTGTGTTCTTCACTGATTGGCACTTACTAGACTGTATGATCATACTCCCGTAGTGCTCAGATGGCAGGAGGCATATGGGCAACACATCTGTGGTTGTTTTTGGCAGCCACACATGTTAATAAAAATTTACATTTACTATAGAGCTAGGAAAGCTACTAACAGTGTTCCATATAGAAGTTAAGAGATAAAAGGTTAAAAATGCAACTTGACTTTGGTCTTTAGGAAAAAAAATACATAAAATCAAATCGCTGTTTGTATTATGAACATTTGTTAAGAAAACAAACCGTGCGACCAAGCCCTTTCAGTGCGATATTAATGGTGTTTGCACATTCTCCTTGCCTTGTGATCACTGGGCGTATCTTTGCACCTCTGAATCATGGCTTTTAAAACTCACCTATTTGGTTTGTCTTTTCTCTCTATCTTTTGTTTCTCCAGATTGTGCTTGCTATCTCACCAAGTTTTTGCGTGAAGGTCACACATCGAACCTCGCAGCGCATTCTCACCAACTTTGCGAAGACAGAGCCATTTGCTTGTCTATTTGCTACCATTTAATGCTCATGCAATTAGCTGTTGTTGATGTTCTGGCTTATTAAGTTTAAGGGATTTAAATATTCCACAGTGGAATACATTAAAGAGGATTATTGTGCATTTTTACATTTTGATATGCGCATTGATGCTGACCCTTTGGACAAAGTCAGCGCATATGTTTTGACATATAGAAATGTGTGCTTTAGAGTCCATTTAGTGAACCTTGGGATGACTTTGTTGCCAGGCAAACTTCCTTCTCCCTGTCCGTCATTCTTTTTCTGTTTACTTTTTGTGGGGTGATTTTCCATATCAGTATCATTTATCCAGTGATGTGTGGAAAGAGGTGAAAAGAATGCTAGCTCTTCTGTTTAGCCAGTTATTGACTTAGTGATAGGCTAAGTCTTCTGGCGGGCACTATAATGTCGCCTACGTCCTACGTGACAGATACCCATCCAGCTATGGCAGGATGTATCTCCCTCACCATGTGTCAGGCACTTAATAAATCGTGTCACAGCTCAATTCTTTATTGTTCATAACCTAATCGCTGAGCTTAGCTAAGACCTTCTTTTCAAATGCTTTGGAGGAGAAGTCCTGGCGCACCCTGACACTTATCTGTCCCGACCCACTTCTTGTGTCTTGAAGTGTTTGCTTGGCTTTTGTGTTTTGCCCGAGGAGGGCAGATGGCCAAGTTCTTATGCCCCACAGGGCACTCAAGGTGCAGCTTGCAGCTTGTCTGATCTGTTTGCCTTTCACAGGAAGGTGTTCGTTATCTTGATGTTTACCCTTAAGGTGACTGGCACTGAGCTGATAGAGCAGAAACTGCCTGACTCTACCTGAGGACAGCAGACACATCAAGCAAAAGGATAATGTGAGTGTCACGGCACTTGTAAAGGTGTGAAGGTGGTTTATTAAACACAAAATAAAAATAGGCAAACGGAGAATGAGCTAAACTATACTGGGAACAACTAACTACTGAACACGAACCAGAACATGAACCTGAAGGAAGATAGACGATGGTATATGATGGTGACAGCAGGGAGACCACACGAATGGAACATGGTAGAAACACAGACGGACCAGCGACTACTACAGCAGAAGACATGACTTAA